TCTCTATTTTCCTTAATTCTGTAAAACAAGCTGCGCTCATCGAAGACGATGTGTTTTTATCAAATTAATCTTAAATGTTAAATTAGAATCTTCATTACTATTGACATAGATTTTAGCCTACAGTTTCTCTAACGTCTAAAACAATTTTTGTGATGTTTAAAAAACATTAGGGGGCGTTGCCAGATTTAATTAGACATTAATAATAAATAATATTTTGGTATTGTTTCTTCGGTACGTTATTATTTTTTTTACACATCATGATAATCCTTGGAAGTAAGAAGCTGGCCATTTGGTATAGAACCAGTGACATTACAGCAATACACACAAAGATGTACCATCCCTCGGAAGAATGTAAAAACATAAGTCCCTTGTCTAAGCAATGTTAGGATAGTAAAAGTTCCCTATCGAAAGACAAAGTGAGGGTTTGGCAAAATTTGCAGGTTGAGGGTTGCTCGTCTCTTGCAAAGCGTCCTGCGTCGGTGTTCAGAAATAGACCAACGTAAAATAACTAAAAAGGAAAAGACTTGGCATCCTGAATAAAATGTCCGAGTCAAAGCGAATAAAAACAAATCATTATTTACATGGCCCTGAGGGTCCCCCAATGAATGTTTAGCTTAGTTTTTAATTGTTTACTTCTGCGTATAAATAAAACTGGATAAATATGACACTGGCCGCAAAATCAACTGTTGTTACTTTGAATAATATTTTCTATTTAAACAGTAGAAAAATGTAATTTTTCAGAATCCTACCCACATAAATCAATTGATTTTTTTAACAAAATCAACTTTTAGGGTTAACAGATGTCGAGAGAGTCAAATTAAAAAAAAGGATTGTTTTTGAAATTTTTTTATTTACCAATCTTATAAAAGCAAACGAACGTCGTATTCCAGAGATATATGTAGGCACAATTCACTTTTAAATGCATTTGTAACAAAAACGTACCCCTATTTCTAAGCTTTAGTTTATATTCTTTTCATATTTTCATGTTAGGTATAAACTGAAACTTTGTCTACCTTCTTGCGTCTTTAAACACGTTGTAAAGTGGATCATGGAGAAATATGTTGATATTATTCAAATAAGTTGTTCTATTCCTACTACATAAAATGGCATAAAAATATTTTACATTTTGAAAACTGTGAAGCTTAAAAACATAAAGAAATAGTTTAACAATTTCATGACTAGCTGGCATGTTGTCGGCTTAGATTTCTTGACTTTTCGAGAGATATATCGCCCGTTTCAGAAAAAGAAACTCTGAAACTCAACACGTTTTTATAGTTTACAATTGTTGAACTCTAAAACTGTACTGATTCTTATTATAAGATGTAAATTAGCTCTTCCATTTTTTAATACTAAGTCCACAGTAAGGGGTATGCTACTTATTTTAAAAATATCCACCATTGTTTTAAATGAGATGATAGCTATTTTCTAAATAATAACGAATAGTTAAATGTTAAATTACAAATCGAGCAATAATATTTTTTAATTACCGACTAACTACAGTCACTAGCAATCACTAGAGCTTAAAATATTACTAAGAACGTGTGCGTTGCTTATGAGACATCCATTAATAAGTTTTGACATAAGCCTACTTTGAGAAGAGTCACTTATTTTAAACACCATAATATTGTAAGAGTTTAATTAAAAGCTTTTTTCAGAAAATAAAATTGTACATTAGAAATTCGAACCCGAATGGTAAAAAACCTAACCTTAAAAAATTAGAATTAAAAATGTAATAGGAATGTAGCATAACTAGCGCTGTCTATGAAATATACAAAAAATAGTTGGACCAGCGTATTAGGCATCCTTAAAATCCCCGGAATACCAAATTTCATAAACATATTTCGCACCGTTTGGAAATTTTCGTAAAAATTTTTATTTTATCGTTCTGTATCTCGAAAACGAGAGGATATAGGCATATAGTTCATAAGACAAAAAATTCTTATTTTTTGTCGTACTATCACCCCCTGTATTTACGGAAGGTCTTTCTGAAACACCCTGTATACAGGGTGTCTCATAATTAGCTGCCAATCCTGAACAGGCCGATTCTATGATCAAAACTAAGTAAAAAAAGTTCATATGAACATGGGTCCGGAAATGCTTCCTAAGGGCACAGGGACCCAGTGAAGAGGGAGGAATGGAAATCATTTTTTTGCAATATCTCTCAATCGCGTTGTGATAAATGAATGAAATTTGGTATACACAGCTAAATTTTGATGAGCAATTTGATGGACTAATACATTTATTTCCACAAGGTCCATTGGGGTGGGTTCGGGGGGGCCCTTGGTACTTTGCGTGTGTAACTTTTTCATCTTTGACTTTTTAACAAATTGGACAGCAAATTCCGTTTTCCCGAACTGTTTTACGTTAAAAAGGTACTCTTGTTTCAAATCGTTATCTTTAACGGTTTCTGAGAAAATCGCTTTTGAATTAATCCCACTTTGGTCAATTTCATAGTAGTTTAAATTTAATCTAATTTTAATAAAAAAATAATAATAAAAAATTAAATTAAATAAAAATTAATCATTTAAATGGAAAAGAGAGGAAAGGAAAATTATTATTATTATTTTTTGTTTAAATTACTATGAAATTGACCAAAGTGGGATTAATTCAAGAGGGACTTTCTCAGAAACCGTTAAAGATAACGATTTGAAACAAGAGTACCTTTTTAACATAAAACCGTTCGGGAAAATTTAATTAAATTAGAAATTAAAATGTGATAGGAAATTAAGTAATAGGAATTAAAATGTAGCATAACTAGCGCCCTCTATGAAATATACAAAAAATAATTAGCCCAGCGTATTTGGTATCCTTAAAAAAACCGGGATACCAAATTTCATAAAAATATTTCACACCGTTTGGAAATTTTCGTAAAAATTCTATTTAAAAAATTTTATTTTGTCGCTCTGTATCTCGAAAACAATTGGAGATAGACATATAGTTCATAAGACAAAAAAACTCTTATTTTTTGTCGTACTATCACCCCCTATATTTACGGGAGATCTTTCTAAAACACCCTGTATATATTTATGAATTAGTCTACAACTCTTTGATGGACGAACATCTACAGGTCTGCTGCAACAGAATTTTAACAACAGCTGAACTAGATCGAACTCGACTACTACAGCTCGTATTACTACGTTAAAAACGTTTTAAAATATAATTTTACCTAATTTAATCGTCTTGGTATTGGTAAAATCGTGTTGATTGAAAATTATAATCATACAGATTATGTGACTATATAAAACTGAAGTAAAAACTGAAATTAAACTATTGCTGTTTCAAAATGATAAAATCAATGTAAATACATTTACTTACCCCAAAAAATTGAGTACAAAAATTTATTTGGTAAAATTTTGAAGTAACGAAATATTCAAATTGATTACCAGTAGATAAATATAGGGGAAGTATTAATTGTATCCAGATGAAGTTGAGATACTGGTTAATTTTACTATATACGCTATTTTTCTACATGTCTAACAATTCACTTTAGAGTAGCACTACTTATATTGGATACATTTTATAATACCAAAAAACTGAAGTAGGTAAAACGCTATAACATAAAATTACAAAATTTAAAACTATTCTCAAAAGTGTAGTTTTGACTTAACATTAAATTATGAACGTTAATCGTTGGGATTTAAGCTCAATTGTATATATAATTACATACAAATATGTATAAACCATCAATACAAAGCCGAATTTGTCTTTTCTGCCTCAGCAATAAGTATTGTTGAATTCATTGCTGAATATTTCTAGTAAATTATATGTTTAATTATATTCGTTTTCATAATAAATATTTAATTAAGTTTCCACTACATGAATGGTACATATTTATAAATCAATTATAGTTAACATTGAGTTGAAGAAATGCGTAATAGGCCAGTCTTTATAGCTTTTTTCTGGAAAAAAATACTATTGGAAGTTTTTTGCGGAATATTGTTCAGAAACATATTATAATCAACTTAGAACAACGATTTTTTTTTAAATTCGAAGAAAAATAGTACTATACTAACTAACTATAGAGGTTACTATTTCCTTTTATAATAATTACTTATCTTAACAATTTAATAAATATTAACATTTTGTCAAAATCATTTTTAAACAAATTAAATTTGAAAAATTAAATTCTCAGTAAATGCATATGTTAATACAACTATTTAGGTACAAAAACAATTAATGATCGAAACTATACAACGCCTTTGAGCTTGGGAAAAATGAATTGAAAATAGCATCTTCTTAGATAACAAATTCCGCTAATGCTAAACCAATGAAGCTTTCGGGCTGAAATTTTTACTATGTATTAAGGGTGTGAAAAGCCCCAATAATCCTGGATTACAAGTGTCTGCGATGAAAATTGCATTAATTATTAGCAATTGCAAAAAACGACCATTTTCGACCATTTTTGAGCTCTTGCGCATAAACAAATTATCGGAATTTAATCGGACTTGTCTCATTTTATAGGCTTATTGTCTGTCATAGGATGTAGCTGAAATCTTATATTTACATATGGTAAGCTGCCAGTCGCGGCCGAGTTCGAAAGCTTCCTGGAAAAAATCTAAATTGAGTCGTTTTCTTTGAGCATCCTACGACTGTCTTCGACAGTGGTTCTAGAACCAACCTCTGGCTCTGTGGATAGTGAATGCAGCGAACAAAGGTAGTTTTAAGACCCAAACTGAATAAAATAAAACACTACTAATTGCTTTAAAATGTATTGCCGTTAAATTTCGTATAGGTACCTGACAGACTAAATAGGGATGTTCGTCTTAATAAATGTAGGTATTTGTCAAGTACGTGTATGATTCTTAAGATATTTTTAAGTTCTAGCATAAACTTTTTTATCTGTATAAGGCCAAGATTATATAATTTTCGCTTGACAGTTCAGGGAAAACTTTAGTTACATAAGAAAATTTATCATTTCACAAAATTTTAAAATTCCCTACATTAAAAGATGAATATTGCTCATAGTTACTAATGAATTTTTCACTATTTTGCATTTTTAGGTACTGATCAATGGGATATGGATGATAATATCACCACCAAGAGCTATGCATCACTATCCCACCAGAGAAGATAACCTTCTTGTCTGTTCTTCCTATATAGACGCTTCATATATGATAGCGTTCACTTATCCCATATTTCTGATAATTATTTGTACTGTGTATGCTGTGCTAACTAGAAAAATACCTGAAGCCTTCAACGAATCAAAACATATAGGTAAGTAACCGTATCCAGTTTAGAATAAAAAAAAAACATTTTTATTTCTGTTTTTAAGTAACGAGGCTAAGAAATAGTGACATTTAGAATGTTCTTATATTTTCTTGGCAAACATAATTTGGGTAATTAAAAAAACTTCATAGTTCGCTTTTAATTAAATATATTACTAAATGCATATTGGTATACAATTTGTCCGCGTTAAATTGGACATAAGGCTATAGATTTTTTACTTTTTGAAATATTTTAATTTTCAAAAATTTTAGAAATGAAAAAACTTTCAAACGTTATTCATTTTTGTTATTTTCTTTTATTTTATTTCTTTTTATTTAGACGTAAACATAAATATACTAATTTTTGAAGTACCAATTAATATGCCAATATATTCGACGTAACTAAAAACAAGTTTTTATTTTATTTTGACATAGCAGATTGCCACATCTATGAATGTTCAACTCAATGGTTAGAAATTCAATACGGTCACACTGGCAGAAAGCGTCCTAAAATATTGCATACTGATGAGCTTACAGTATATGTCTTGTTGGTTCTATTCACAACTGTTTACTCGATATATTCCGGTCGAGGCATGTAACCCGCAGAGTAGTTGTTTCCGGGAATATCATCGATAAAACAGTCTTTAAATATTTTTTATATAGCTAAATACAAAGTTCCAAATAAACAATTTTTTCATAATTTATTATTGCCTGACCTCAATAATATTTTTTTCAATTGAAGAACTACAGAAAATGGTACATTTATTTTCAAGATACTTTGAATGAGAATCGGTAGAAATGTATTTTCCCAAAAAATATCACTAGTAGTAGTACCTACTCTTTCTCAAAAATAAACATGGCCACAGTTGACCATTGATTTAATTTATTAATAACAAAAAATATTCGCTAAAATCGGTCATTAAATAAAAAAATTATGGGGATTGCTAGTCCTTAAGCAGAACTAGCTGTAAATTTCTCCCAGGGCTTACCGGATTTAATAGCAAAATATTTTCTAAATGTGAAATATAAACAATCCATCTCCTTCTAAATTGCAATATAATATTTTTAAGACAACAGGATATATAATATACCAGGTGTAACAGGATCATGGTACACCCCCCGTATCTCCGTTAGTTTTAAAGGTAATTGATTGAAATTTGGGATATTCTATATACATAATAAGCGGCACTTTTTGATCTACAAATGATTTTTTTTCCACTTCCGGTTTCGCCGGAAGTGATACCAACTTTCGATTTTCAAATGGAATACCCTGTATATTATTACATTTCTGAAATCTGCATAATTTTCTGAATCCAATGATACCACATAAGTGACATTTCAAACGTCAAAATTTTTTATAATTTAATTTTTAGTTTTCCATTTAAGTGTGCCATGATGGTTCCGATTTATTCCAATTGACCCGTCTAATGCTGGAAAAATCGAAATCCCGTCAAAAATACTAAATTGCGTTTTTTATGAGCAAATAAAGTTCATCGTAATCGATTTTGGGGTAAAACTCAATTTTTTCAAATGGAACCATATTGGTACCGTGGTACCATTTATTAGTACTATTAATAAGGAANCGCAATTTAGTATTTTTGACGGGATTTCGATTTTTCCAGCATTAGACGGGTCAATTGGAATAAATCGGAACCATCATGGCACACTTAAATGGAAAACTAAAAATTAAATTATAAAAAATTTTGACGTTTGAAATGTCACTTATGTGGTATCATTGGATTCAGAAAATTATGCAGATTTCAGAAATGTAATAATATACAGGGTATTCCATTTGAAAATCGAAAGTTGGTATCACTTCCGGCGAAACCGGAAGTGGAAAAAAAATCATTTGTAGATCAAAAAGTGCCGCTTATTATGTATATGGCATATCCCAAATTTCAATCAATTACCTTTAAAACTAACGGAGATACGGGGGGTGTACCATGATCCTGTTACACCTGGTATATATATATATATATATTTGCTACGACGATTTGCTACTGTGCTATAGTTTGTAAGTTACCTGTATGACCCCCACTAGAGTGGTTACAAATTATCTTGGCCAAACAAGTGTTAGCAAAGTTGACTATATTTTAACAAATGTTGAACTCTGTCATTGTAATAAGTCTACCGCATATGAGGCTCATTTTAGCGACCACAGAGTTTTTAGTTTGTTAGTCTGTACCTGAATATAAAGTAAAGTTAATTGAACCCAGTTATAAAGAGTTCAGATATCTTTCAGATGACAACCTTAATCATTTATCTATTGCTTTGGCTTTGACTAATTTTAATGATATTTATTCGCAAGGTGTTAACAACAGCTTTAATTGTTTTATGGACATTTTATTTCATGTGATAGATTCAATCTGCCCAGTAAGACGTTTTTACAGTAGAAATCAAGCTCATTTACCATGGGTTTAGGTAGCTAAAAGTTCAAACTAAACTTAATAAGATCGCTGTTTTTGCTGTTTACCTTCATTTTTGTTATTAGTATTTACTAAATTGGACAAAAGGAAAATATATATGATAATAGCTTAATTTGCGAAATTAACATTTTGAATATTCCTCTTGCAAAAACGTATATGTATATAAAATTATTTCTACTAATACTGGCGCATTCGCCAGAACTTAAAAAATTCAATTCCGAAGCGAATGGACAAACAAACAAAAACAAGACTACCATTTTTTTCCTGAAATCATTCCCGAGACTTTCAAGTTTTTTATGTGAACCACAGCTTTTGATCAATTACAAATCGCCACAAAAAAAGTGAGATGACCTATGCACATCACGTTAAGAAAGTCCTCTAGTAAGCGGTTTTCGAGATTTAAAACTGATTTGAGTAGTCAGTGCCTGGTAAAAATTTGGTTTGTGATCTCATTAACCATAACCTCATAGCTTTTGACAGTAAGTTTACTTTTTCTGAACACATTAATAATATAGTATCTAGTGCCTTTAAAATTTACAGTTTTCTGTATAGGAATTGCAGGGACTTGTCTAATATTCGAACACTCGAAGTCTCTATTGTGTACCCTTGTTAGGTCTAAACTTGAATATGGTTCCATTATATGGTATCCTATCTACGCAGTTCATCGTCAGAGATTGGAATCTGTTCAACGGCAGTTTCTAAAATTTCTTTGTTTTCATCAAGATGGTTTTTATCCACCTCGAGGTTGCAGTCATCCAGATTTACTAAATAGATTCGATTTTGATTCGTTGGAGATTCGTCGTGATATTTCTTTGACGCGTTTTCTGTATAATCTCCTGCATGGTAAAATTGATTGCCCAGCTCTTCTCTGTAAGATTAATTTTATTGTATCTCGGGCTAACAGAAGACAACATGAAACATTTTATTGTTACATCCCCAGATCTAACATTTTAGTCAAAATTCCTATATCCTGTATTTGTGATTTGTATAATAAGATCGCGGCAAATTGTGATATATTTTTCGATAGTCGATGTGTGAACTTGTTCGTTAAATTAGCTTTAATTATATTTTGTGTCTTTTTTTGCTTTATTTGAATGTATTTAATATTGCATTACATATTTACAGTTATTGTAATTCTATATAGTACAGTACTTGTATGTACACTATTATTAGTTTGTTTTTATTCCTGTAACTGGGTATTCCCTGTAGGAATAATAAAAATTATTATTATAACCCCATAACCCCGTAGCTTCATAATTCCTTAACCCCATAACCCGAGATGTGCGAGTTAGAAGCACGAAACTCTGTGGGAACATGGACTTACACATATCATGGGTCCAAAACTACACGACTGTGAGTGGAAGGTTTCTTTAATCTCATAATCCGAAACGTGCGAAGATGTAAAATTACGAAACGCGGATGAATTAAGTTTATCTTCTTCTTCTTAACTTGTGGTTGAGTTCTATTCAAGTCCCATAGCATTGCGGCCTTATAGCCTTTTGTTCTACTGTTCAAACCTATTCAGCAAGTAATTTTGTTTCTTTCAAAAAAGCAAAAGTATTTTTACCGTCAAGCATTCTTATTTATTTTGTAAAATGAAAAATTTCTAATGAAATTACTTTTGCATTCTTAGAAAGAAATACCTATGTAAGCCGATTGAAGGTCATAGGCATACAAAAAATATACAACAAAAGCAGCATGCACAGACAAATACCTAAACATAATTACTTTACTTGGAGGTAAAGTGTCTGTAATCCTTGTAAAGTACGAGAGTATACAAAAGTTTCCTTGTAAGGAACAAGAGTAAAAAGTCTGTTTTGCTTTCATAGAATTTAAAGATATTGCTTTGTACATGATGAATCTATTTGGACAATTTTGGAGGGATTCTAGTAATTTCTAATGAGATAAAAAAGTAACCTCTGGCTAGATTTTCAAAAAAAATTGAAAAACGTAATCCACATGTTGATTCATTTGAAATGTCATACATAATATAAGATTTTTTTTATTTTTATAAAGAATTTTTTTATTTACTTTTTCTTTATTACTTCCAAGTTGTAATGCACACTTACAATTGTTTTAATGGATTTAAATTTGTTTTTATTTTACTCACAACTGGTATAATTTTAACAAAACAAATAAATAAAATTTACTGCACATGGGTGTTAAGTGTACTTATACAGTCTGTTTGATTGTAAAGGCCCCGAGCTATAACTAATTGCAAATTGCATATATGGAGGGGTTAAAATGAAAGGAAGAAGTATCTGACAATAAATTTAAAAAATATTAGTTTGTGAAATCAGAATTTCAAAGAAAATGAAATGTTAAGAAATTTAAAATAATAATAAGTTGTGATAACAAAAATTAAATTGATTTTTTTTTTATAAATGAGAGACTTATTGTAAAATACTTATAAGTAGTGTCCAGTAGAAAATTTTAACGTAGATGCGGGAGTGCGGTTATATTGAAACAAGAAAAAAAAAAGATTTTACTTGATTTTTTGAAAATTGAAGGGAGCAAAAATATTAATCAGAAGCTGAGATAAAAACGAAGAAGAGATAATTTAGATATTACAAAGTCCATAAAT